AGTGGTTTATAATGACGAATCGATAATATCCCAGGAAATAAAGAATTCAGTCAGACCAACAAAAAATAGACTTACTTTTCTTTTCATCATCTGGTTTATGCAGGTTGAAGTTTTCAAGTAGAAGTTCTAGTTCACGCATGCTGCTACCATAAGTCGTGTCTAGTTTTATCTGACGTTTCCTGGCCTGAATTGAATAAAAAATACATGGTGTAAGATAGATTGCAACAGAGTTGATTGCAAGACAAAAACGTCTTGTACATGGTAAGTGTCCAGCAGCAACAACAGCTGCAGCAACAACAACAGCAGCAGCAACAACAGCAACAATATCAGCAGCAACAACAACAGCAACAGCATAACCACGACTGCACCTGAAATCCCTACATCCTACCATCTTTACTAACATGATTTTCCTGTAATCACTCTCGTTCTTTGTCCTACTTGGACAAATGCAGTAAAGCCCCTAATGCACTGGTCAATTGAAATCCCCGCCCCCGACCCCCGGGGCTAGCGGGGCACTGAACGGGGACGTGACGTGTTTTTAACATGCTTTTAACAGCAAGTATTACCCCGGGGATCGAGATTTTTATGAATTGTTTTCGAAGTGGGGCAAAGAGCGGGGATTTTAACGCGCGTTTGAACATACGTGAAGCTGTAAACTAGAGGTAGACCATCTTGAGAAATACCATGAAAGCATTGGTATTCAACCCTGTTTTTTTTTATTTTTCCTTGCCTGAAATGTTTGTAAAGAAACTTATTACACATGTTTTTCTCCGTCTAGTTAGTCTCATGTAGCATGCAAATGAGTACACAGGATTGTGCAAAAATTAACCCTGTGTATCACAGAAAATTTGATTAAAAGGTGTTTGTTTTGTTATTTACTACTAGACCAAAATAGCGGGGCCACAGTAGCGGGGGATTTTAACAATTGATGCGCCCCCGACTACCGGGGGAAATGTTTCATATTAACACCACTCAAGCGTTAAATTCCACGGTATTCCCCGGGGGTCGGGGGTTTCAATTGACTACTGTATAACAAATATGCAACTATCTCGGTCATGAACCTTTCTAACAAATCTTTCCCGCGTAAAAACACTAAAAATCACTTATAAAAATAATCCAGGTTGTGGCCAACACTCAACCATCTTTATAAAACAATAATTGTGCAACTAGTAACTTGACGTATTGTACTGTCCTTTCCATTTTTTTCTCACCCTATATCCAGGCTGCAAATGCTAAAAATGCCTTTTGAAGTAACCAAATGCTGGAGAAATACGACTTACTTGAATCAATTCTGATTTGAGCGCCTCGAAGTTCTTTTGATGTACTTCAAGCTGTTTGGACATGTTAGAAATGACTTTCTGCTTGTCTTCGATTTCAACTGACAGACTTCGTCTTTCTTTTTGAAAACTTTCTTCTATTTCTGCCATTCTTGACTCTTTACCTTTGTTCTTGTCTCTCTCTTCTTCAAATGCTGTTTCCAGCTCCCTGTGAAAACATCAGATGAAATTAAGTTTTAATGGCCTTTTAATAGACCCTGACTTGGCCGCATTTCAAAGACCGCACAATTAGTCGTAATTTTAATCAACAAGGACGTTAAAAATTCGTAATTGTGAAAACGCGAAAGCATTTCTTACTGACTACAATATTTTGATTTGCAATTATGAACGGTTTTTTTGTTGTTGTTGTTGCTGTTATTGTTTTTCTTAATGATTTTTATTACAGATTAACAAATCAGAAACAAAAACGACAAAACACATGAACATATGTGCTTACATATATGAGCAAACAATCCATTTATCAAGAGGCAAACAATGCCAATAACGATGGTACATTTATTAAGGGGATAAAATGCAGCTGGGTTTTCATCAATGAAATCTTACTGTTTGGGGAACTTCCTGAACTAAAACACTTTCTACTAACCACAGTGCATCAGTTTTCATACATGTATAAACTTTCTTTAATGATGGTAAACCAGTTTAGTCATAGACTAATCTACCACTGGGCCATCAACAACTCACACTCACTACCTCTACATTAAGTATTTTAAGCACACAGCACTCCTCACATGTTGATTTTTGCTGAGGGAGGAAAACCAGAGGACCCGGAAAAAAACCCTTGTGGCAAGGGAGAGAACAACACATCAAACAAACTCAAACTCACATATGGTTGTGACCGGGAATCAAACCCAGACCACAGCGGTGAGAGGCCAGCAGCTTAACCACTAGAGATAGGATATCATGCTAGTTGCTAGTTGCTAGTTGCTAGTTGCTAGTTGCTAGTTGCTTGTGAAATAGTGCGAAAAATCAATTATGATAAAAAATATAGAAAATTTGGGTAAAATTAAAGATATCATTTTTTTACTTTATGGGCCAAATACTTTGTTGAACACCCAATTTCATTCAAGAATTTGTAAAGGTAATCATAGATTCTTGTTGTGCTATTTA